TCTTCCTTTTTTGATGTCATTTTATATATCCTTGCATTGACTATTCTGTTATTTTTCTTTGTCCCTGCGCACAAGTCGCTAAACAGTAACATTAACAGTAACATCTGACCCTATTTCTGTTCTCTTTTATGTTTGTTTCTCATCCATCCGTAACTGCTTGAAGAGCTTAATCTGATGGTACTAATTATAATGTCCCAAGGTAAACAATGTATCTGTATTGTTAATGGTGTTTAAACATAACATTTGAAAAATGCTATTGCCAATTTATTTTTAAATCAAACTATTGAATAATAGTAATAGAGGGGGAAAACAATGCTAATAAATTTTAGTTTACTCTTTGTTTTTAAATTTTTTAATCAAAGTAAATTCTGCTTCATGTTACAAAAAAGTTTTGTTTAAGCCGTGCAGTTTGAAACTCTGTCTACCTGTATTTGTACATTTACAGTCGGTCCTCTACACTCACTGAGGTTAGTAGCACAGGACCTCCATGACAGTAAAAAAAAACACGACTAAAGAAAATGCTATTTTTTTTACATGAGAGAGCACCTCTCTATAAATTTCCCTGTCTTCCAGCATGATTTTGTGTTGACTTCTATTGGAAGCTGACCATAGAATAGTACAGCACCTAGGAATTGCTAGGGACCTCTTCTTTCTAGGAATTGTGAGGTCCTCTATCTTGACTGGAAAAATTTGACCAGAAAATCACACTTGAGGACCTAGAGAGAGCAATTTGAGCAAATCCATGAATAATCGAATTCCCAAAGTATTGACACCTGCTGTTTTAATAATCCAGTCTCTTGGGGAATAGCCTTCTGCTTCTGAATTGTTTCCACCTGCTAAGTATGGTTGTTGGCTTACCTGGATGAGGCCTTTCTGTCTCAGAGATGCTTTGCTTACACAATGGCATCAACCTGAGCTCTTGCATAGCTTTAGATCATGCTTTTCTGCTATTTGATTGTGGTTGTTGCTTAGTCCTGCCTTCTGGTTTGTCTTGTGGTCCTTCTGCCTCCCTGCTTGGCCTCATATTCCATTGGCTCTTTAGTCTCTCTTGCTGAAGACTGCTGCCCAGCTCTGATTGTAAAGATGTATTGTGTGCCTTTTGCCAAATTCATGAAATGAATCCTTGCAGGGAAAAATGCTTATTAATAGTAGGGCAGAAGTCTCTCTCCAATCTTCACTCTGCTTTCCTGTAACAGGTAGCATCAAGAGACCTCGCATGTCTATGTCAGGTTTAGATTGTTGACATTTCCTCTCAGTCTTATCTAACTCACCCTCATGACACAGAACAATAGTTGAAAGGTTTTACATGGGCTTTTTGTTTTCAATTTGAATGTGTATGGGGATTGCTTGTTAGCATGTAAGGCAAGAGCAGGCAATCATTTTTGGGTCTTCTGCCAAACTGGCCCAGGGCCAGGATGTAGCTGCATGCCAACATGGGAAGGGCTGTCTTCCAAAGTGGGCAGAGCAGTGGCGCATGGATCTCCTCTTCCAGATCTTCATGCAATGAGCTGTGGAAGGAAAGTGGATCAGATGGTTAAGCTTTCTCCCATTCCAGGCATGGAGTAGAGAAAAGGATTTATCTCCAGTCTGTCACAGATCAGATGTACTTCATTTCCTTTGCTTACAGAAGGAGTCTCTGGAACAGCAATAAAAGTTTGTTTCTGGTCAGGGAAGGGGGCAGAGCTTGAAGAAAAAGATTTAGTAGGCTGAGACTTATCAGCATGGAATATATGAAACTTGCTTTGGTTATTTCCCGTTTTATTGTAGCTCATTTGTTTCCTGTCTGGTCCCTATTTTCTCTTCAAGTTTAATACATATTTTTAAAATTGGATCCTGAAGATTGTATGCCTACCTTAATCAAATTAGGGATGATCTGTTATTTGCCAAATACTTAGAGACTGTGTGTATTGATCTAAAGTGGACAAGTGAGTATGGAGTGAATGTTCTCATCATTTACCTTTACCTCATATTAACAGCCCTAGATTTCTAGGGATTCGTGCCTCCCTTCATTAAGCAGAAGGTCTTTCACAGTAAATGGTAGATTTGACAAACCAGAAATCTTTTAGATAACTTTCCTTCAATATTGTTTGATATCCATCTTCATAAATTATAACTACAAGGTCCAGATAATCAGAAGGTCATGTTGTCTCTTCTGGCATTCTTCCTACATTGGGGTGGAGAAAATATGTCCCTTCAGCTAATGTTGGTTAATAGTTCCAGCAGCAAGACCTTGGACATGCCCATCCCAATCTTAAAAGATGAACAAAGCAAAAGGAAGCTTGATTTCCAAATGAAATAGATTTAGAAAATCAATATCATCAAGGAGCACATAGAGTTGGTTGGCAACCAATTGCTCAAGCACTTTACTCAAGACGAGAATATATAATGCCCAGTAATAGTTGTTCACAAATTAAAGAAAAGGATATGACGGAGGTAGCTGATGTACATGTTGTGATTCTTATTCTGAGAATATCTTGCAAATTAGCACAAGCAGCTTTGTAATTTGATGATCCTTTCCTTACAGTAATATGTCTAGGGTTAAGTGCAGCTGAAAGATAATTTGTACCTTTCAGATGAGGCTGCATATCACCACTGGAAAATATTTTGGCATAGGGCAAATATGAGAAGCAGCCGTGCTCAACTGTGCATCTCTGCTCTTACTGAAGCGGACAGAATTGAGACATTGGAAGCAGACTGTGCTGACCTCTGTTTTCCTTGCACCACTGCTCCACTCTCACCTGCCTTCCAGCCCTCCAGAGAACAGAAGAGCCAACTTAAGAGCTCAGGGATGGAGAAACTGGGCTTCAAGATAGGAAAGGTCCATGAAGTCTTAGTGTCCACATGTGTAATGCGAATTTCTGCCAGTATAGTATATTTACAATCATTGTGATTGTAGCTACCTAGTCCTGACCCTCGAGATTTCTCTTGGGCATGGATATAGGGTTATTAAACTTAGGGTCCTTCCACACAGCCCTCTATCCCAGAATATCTGCTTTGAACTGGGTTATCTGAGGGCCGTTCCACACAGCCTTATATCCTAGAACAGAGGTCCACAAATTTTTTAAACAGAGGGCCAGGTCACAGTCCCTCAAACTGTTGGAGGGCCAGATTATAATTTGAAAAAAACATGAATGAATTCCTATGCACACTGCAAATATCTTATTTGTAATGCAAAAAAACACTTTAAAACAATAAATAATTAAAATGAAGAACAATTTTAATAAATACAAGCTTATTAGTATTTCAGTGGGAAGTGTGGGCCTGGTTTTGGCTGATGAGAAAGGATTGTTGTTGTTGTTGTTGTTGTGTGCTTTCGGGTTGTTTCAGACTTAGGTTGACCCTGAGCAAGGGCCGGGTAAATGACTTTGGAGGGCCGTATCTTAGTTTGAGGACCCCTGTCCTAGAATATCAAGGCAGGAAATCCCACAATATCTGCTTTGAACTAGGTTATCTGAGGGCCCTTTCACACAGCACTATATCCCAGAATATCAAGGCAAAAAATCCCACATTATCTGAGTGTGGACTCAGATAACCCAGTTCAAAGCAGATATTTTGGGATTTTCTGCATTGATATTCTGGGATATAGGGCTGTGTGGAAGGGCCCTTAGGCTTTTCTGAAAAATATCAAAATTCTACTTGTTTCATGTGATATTGTAGACCCGGCCTAACCCCATTCATTTGATGGAGAGGAGTGGTCTGCTTAAATATGGGAGGAAACAGTAAACTATAATAGAAAAATGCATGTGTATGTAAGGGATATCTAGCAACATTAGAGACTGAAAGTATCTGATGACTTGAGCTAGGCAGAACTTTCTTCGTGCATTGTATGAGTTCATATTTTAGGATGGTGCATCAAAATGGATTCTGTGTCTCGAAATCACATTTTTGAAAGGACAATACTGGAAATCACCTTGAATTGACGTAGATATAAAACCAGCAGCTCATGTGGATTCTTTCCTTTTGTCCTTCGGCTTTATTTGACAGCACCTCATTGAAGGATTTATTGTCAAAATGTAGCAGGAGTTAGCACAGCCCATGGAGTCAGCTCCCTCCCCTTTCTGCCTTCACTTCTGCAGCATTTGTACTTTGACTGCTTCCTGGTCTCACAGAAAGAGGCAGTGCTGAGTTAGAAAGACAAAAATAGACCTTTACAGAGAAATATAAGGATTGCAACTGTGTGTGCATGCGCGTGCCCGTGTTTCCCGATGTGTGTGTGCGTTTGTGTGTGTGCGCGCGCATGGTGGTGGTGGTGCTGCTGCTGCTGCTGCTAAGAGGAAGGCAGCACTTCTCTCTTTTCACTGTGTGTTAGGCATTTTGTACAGATTTTTGTTTTGCTTTTTTTTAAAAAAAACCCACCACCTCTTCCGGAAGCTCTTTGCATCTCTTTGGGGGAGGAAAAAAGGAACCAACTGTGATCAGAAAACGACCAGAGACCATTTTTATTGGAACAACTGGTGGGGAAGAAAGCAGAGAGATACCATCACAGGGATATAAATATCATCTATTAAAATCATTGCTCTGGACAGCATTATAGATCACTAGTGCAATCTGACAGCCACCCTAAGGGACAGCAATGGGGTGTTTGGGCAACAGCAAAACGGAGGATCAGCGTATTGATGAGAAAGCACAGCGAGAAGCCAACAAAAAAATAGAGAAGCAGTTGCAGAAAGAGCGACTGGCTTATAAAGCCACACACCGTTTGCTTCTGCTGGGTAAGAACGAAGGGCGTCTTGGTGGGGAAGAAGGGAGAGGAGGAGGAGGAGGAGGAGAGTGCAGTGGTGCAGTTCAGCTTCCCAGAGAAGAGGGGGAACTGGGCTGTTTATGAGGCAGGGAACATCAAGGGGGAAATGCAGACCAGGATTATTAAATGCACGGATTGACCATGATATGTGCAGGAGGGGCTTGGAGGAAGAAAGATGCTTTCACCCTGTCTCCCCCATTTTCCCTTCTCCCAAATGTATACATCACACATTTTCCCCCTTCCCTTTTTTCTATTTCAGGAGCTGGTGAGTCAGGAAAAAGCACTATTGTCAAGCAAATGAGGATCTTGCATGTAAACGGATTTAATTCAGAGTAAGAATTATTACTATTTGTGGGGGACGATGAAAAAGAAAAGGGCACCTGAATAATAAATCTATATTTAAAAGACACTAACCTGAGCCAAAGGATTTTTCTCAGTGTTTGCTTGGTGGCTGTTGGGGATTTGCATTTACCAGCCCAACCCAAAGCATAACAATTATTGCTGATATACACCCAGAGGATAATTTGTACACCCCTCCCCAGATAGACTGCTGCTTCTACTGTATTTTTACACTGTTGCTACTGCAGTGCTGAATAGGGCCTTGTATAGGGACAACATGGCGACTTCTTATATCAGCAAATACTAAATAATTTCTGTGCATGTTGGGATCAAAGAGATACATAATACACATATTTCAATATGTTTGTCATTTTCAAGTTAATAAAAAAACCAAGTAACAGGAATGCAATATATTATGAAGTGTTTTAGACAGTATTGTTTATCTCAGAAATCCCTATTTTAGAATTTAGTATAAACAGTAGAGTAACAGCTATTTATGGTATGTTAGAGCATCTGCAGTTAAACACAGTTTATAGCATAATTGACTTCCAACCCTTCATATGCACCCCAAGAGGAATTTATGTATATATATATATATATATATATATATATAAAAAAATTTATACATAGTAATGATATGATGTGTCATGTGATAATACTGTAAGCAATCTCTTTTAATTAAACTCATATGTTAATTTTTATTATAAAATATGTGCATATTAGGAAGAAAATAGCTTATAAAATGTGATTTTTACAATCTTAAGGGTAGATGAACATTCAGTGAGAATTTCTTAAAACAGCTTCAGTAAACTGATTTGTGTATGTGTGTGTGCTTTATCTAATATAGAGAGAAGAAACAGAAAATTCTGGATATTCGGAAAAATGTAAAAGATGCGATTGTGGTAAGAAGACATTTTATTTTTGTTTTAATGGCTATTTTTAGTAATTGGCTTGTGCATGTAAAGAAAAATCTATTTTTAATGTGTGGTCATATCAACCTTTAGCAATTATATGTTTGCGTAAAACAGTAATACGTCTTGGTCCTGTGTTTTTCTTATTTTAGACTATAGTTTCAGCAATGAGCACTTTAATACCTCCAGTTCCATTGGCCAACCAAGAAAACCAATTCCGAGCTGACTACATCAAGAGTATAGCCCCACTTTCGGACTTTGAATATACCCAGGTAAGATCTAAAAGTCTTCTCTCTCTTTCAACCCTCCAGCAAATTTCAAAAATTATGGCATTACTTATTTACCATTTCATAGCTCTAATTTTTATGATGATATTCTCATTGTTCTCATCCATGGCATTGTACAGAAGACATGTGGTCTATACTATTTTTTTTCTTGAAACTATTTGGAACATTATATAATGAAACCAATCATGAGCTGTGACCACTTTCAAGATCATGGATTTTTATATGTTGTGGGATTATGGGTTGCATTATTTTACAAAAGGGGCACGATGGTGTGCCAGTGTTATTTGGCAGGATGTTGATGGAAACCATTGTGGATAAATACTGTAATACTGTGTATGGAGATTCTTTATCTGTTTTTCTTGGTTTGCTTTTCATGGCAAGAAGTGATGGTCAGATACAGTTTTTAATGGCAACTATGTTTTTGTATTTAAATAATTAGTCAGTTATCCTACATCACATATCTGGGAATAAGCCCCTATGAATTCAGCAAATCAATATATCCACAATTGCATTGATAGTCTCTAATCTCCCATAATCCCCTGAAAAAACATCTCGGAGCACAGAAGCATTACTGAAGAATATGAGTTGGACATTGAGGGCTATATGGTGTGTGGAAAGCTTTCTTTTTGTGGTCTTCTTTCCAATGTCTTTGCTTGGCATCTGAACTTTGCTATGCATGACTTGAATATCATGAAGATGTTCTTTTGTATGTTTTTCTTAGAATGCATAGAGAAATCCTAAGGAAATTACTTTAGTAGCTATTTTGAACTGAGTTTTATGTAGTTCCCTCTATAATGATTCAGATTTTCTACAGATTATGTTGGTTTTAATTTTTTGTTTTGTGAAACGCAATTTGAGTAGCTAGCCTTTCTTTGCTTATATCTAGATAACTCTATTCCTCAATTCTCAGTCACTGAGAGGCCTGGACTTTTTTGGCTTTAAAAAATAGTTGGAATTTTTGTCTCTTCTCTCACGACAGTATTGCCCATTTGATTGGTTTATGGTGGAGCGTCTTCAGATTATCCTGGAAAAATGGGATTGGGCAGAGAATTATTTTCTTGTATCATATTTGTCAAATTCCGAACTGGTATATTTCTCATTTTGAAAATTCAGGGTGTTTTGAAAACAAAATACAGCTTTAATGTATCATAGAGTTCCCCGTATAAAATTGGATAATTTCTGTAAATTGACAGCTTTTATTAAAATTGTGAACTTGATTAAAAATTATGATACTGAGAGTCAATCTCGTATGTTGATTTAATTGCCACAGGACATGATGAATGAAGACTTAAAGCTTTGTTGCACTGTTTCTAATGTTGAGTATGATTTTCCTCATATAAATGTTGGTAGCCATTATTTTCTTAATCTTTAGTTGTATCTTTTTAATAATCTGGTTTAAAGGCCTTCTTCGCGGCTCTTTTTGGTGTTATTAAATTATACATGGATTGTCTTTTCATAGAAAGGAATTTTAGGTAGAGATGGCTTGTATAGAAATGTGGGCCTAGAGGGCAATTTGTTGTATGAGAATTTGCTTGTTGTATGGATTTGAAGAGTACCTTAAACAAATATAAACATCTTCAACAGAGATGAAACATTCTCTCCATATGTTTTCTTTTTAAATAAAGGTGGTAGTTCTTTTCTGGTAGCTTCCTGGGACAGGATATCAAGGTTGGTCTTTTAGTCTCTTAATTGGGATTTGGATTGTGCATCTTTTGGCAAAAAGAAAAGGAACAAAATATGACATATTCCTCTAAACAAAATAATTTTGGTAGATTGATTTGGATTTATTTCTTGGGAAATACACTTGTACAGATAGTTGTACAAACTAAGCCATACTTATTTAGAGAGGAGGAAATTCATCAGTTATTTGGCTGTAGTTTGGTGGTGTTATATGTTTGTAAATCTCGTTGAAGTCAGCTTCTCTTGAGTGTAACTTTGAATATGATTGCTGCATTTGTTCCGTATTGTGTTAGTGATTTTTAAATATAACTCTTTAATTTGATGATTTAAAAGTCTTTCTTGAGCAGCACCGTTCTTCCAATCAAGTCAGTCAGCTAGAAGAACTTGAAAACACTCCTATGCCACGATATGGCTTTTACATATCTGAAAATGAAAAAAGTACCAAAAGCAGTTAGAAATAATGTCTTGGAATCATAACCGAGATATGATATGAACATGATATTAACTTTTTAAGAGGAAGTCTCAAATGCCTAAACTCTGATATAGGCTGTACAGTTACGTCATGGGTTAGTCATGTAGTAATGCTTGATAAGTGGGATATAGGTATTTCAAACACAGCTGTACATCTGAAACAAATTGTGTTAGTGTTCCAGAATTCTTTTAAATACTGAGTAATTACTGTATACAGTTTGCCTGTAATGCAGTATGCAGTAATTTAATTTGGATAAAATAATTATTTTCTCTTTCAGAGTAAAATCTTCATTTAAGTATATACTGATGTGTATTACAATAGTTGGCAAAGCTTGCTGTGGTTTTAACCTGTTTATTTTGTATATTACAAGATTTTCAGATCTGGAAATATCTTGAGATATGACACATTAGTCCTTACGCATTATAATCCAAGCCTACTCTTCTTCCTACAGCTGGGTTTCTTAGCCAGGATTTCCTAGAATCCCAGAGCTCATTGAGGGATCACAAAAGGTTCCATGATTGATCATGACTTAAAAAAAAAACATTTTGAGCTATAGATACAATCCTTTTTGTTCAGGAACCTATAATTTCATGCAGTATTTCCTTGAAACCTGAAATTTATTTTGAGGCTTTCTCAAGGATAAAAAGGCTAAGAAACACTGTCGTGTAGATTTCAAGTACAGTGGGACCTCTACCATGCAGATGTAACTTCTAAATTCTGGTGACCAAACATTGGAAGTGGTTATCGGGCATATGTTTGTGCATAATCTGAATTTCCTTTTACCAAGTTGCATTATTGTGTTGTGTGTACAGTTGGCCATCCCTTTCTGTAGATTCTGTATACTTGGGTGCAACCATTCTTGGCTTGAAAGTATTTAACTTCCCCTACAAAAAAATTCCAAAAGCAAGTATTGATTTTTGCCATTTTATGTAAGGAACACCATTGTATACAATGAGACTTGAGCATCCATGGGCTTAGTGCCCATGCTCTTTGAACGAAACCCCACCATGTACCAAAGCACCACTGTATATGCCCATGCAAGTATTTACATTGACAGGGATGAAATCTGGAAAAGGCACAATCTAAACCTAGAATAGTAGAATCTAGTAGAAATAGAGGTAGTGATTTGTTCTTCTTACTGAACCTATAAATGCTCAAAAAGGCTGGGAAAAGCCTGAGGATTGCAGCACACAGAGAAGGGAAATACGTTCTATTGCAATGGCATTGGATTAAGGAATAACAGCCCAATTGTATTCATGTTTACTCCCAGGTTAATGTAAATAATGGTTATGCCTTAAAGAACAAAAACCAAAGAAAAACTGAATTTGAAAAGAATTTTAAGGATAAAACTTTAAGGAAGCCTTTCATAATCTTTTTGTCATGTAGGAATTCTGAAGTCATTTTCAGATCTCAGATAACCCTTTCATAAACATTGTTAAATGTCTAGCTTGTGTCAATAGTATGTTAATCGATCAGAAGGCTATAGATCCACACACTATGCTTGTCAGTATTATCTAGAGCAGTTATAATGTTTCTGTCAATCAGATTATTTCAGCCAATGTATTAGCTTATTTTTTGTTTTCCTCTTGCCCACAAGAGACACAGTGTGGTTTGAGCATTAGACTACAACCCTGCTGAGCCATGGAAACCCACTAGGGAACCTGGGGCAAGTCACATTCTCAACTTCAAAGGAAGGCAAAGGCAAACCTCCTCTGAACAAATCTTGCCAAGAAAACCCCATGATAGGGTCATCTTTAGGTCGCCATAAGACAAAAACTATTTGAAGGCACACAACAACAACCCTCCCTACAAAGGATATCAGTTTAACACAAGCCAAACATGTAGGTAGAGAAAAGTTTGGTTTTCCCTTTGTAATTTTTACTTGATCTTTTAAAATCTTACACAAGTAGGCCCAAAAGTCTTATCAGAAATTTCTATTCTAGCGTGGTATGGTGTGAGCAAGACCAGGTTCTTACTAGTCAGCCTCTCTTTTTTTAAAAAAGGCAATAAACTTAGTTTACCTGTTTTTCTTTCTCTTTCATAACTTTTTAACTTGGCTTAAGCAAAAATTGAATTGAATTTTTCTAAATGTAGAAAAAGAGAGAGCTAGTGAAACCACCTTTGCGTATTCCTTGCCTACCAAAACCTTCATGGTTTTGCCATACGTAAACAGATGACTTGAAGTTAGATATATTTAATTTTTAAGGCTGTCTATTGATACTTAGAATATGAAAATTTATTGATAACTTTTAATATTGAAGCTACGAAAACCATAAGTCAAAACAGTGTTAAAAATAGATGGAAGACAGTATTCCTTATTTCAAATGAAGATTTCCTTCCAGTTTACTACTACATTTTTATTTATCATATCAGGAGCGAGCCAAGGGTACAGTTGTAATGTATTTTAAAAACACACACACAAAGTCTAAAAACTTGGTATTATATTACATGTCCTTTGACCAGGAGCTGGCCACTTAGAGTGCCTCTGGTGTTGCTATAAGGAGGTCCTCCATTGTGCATGTGGCAGGGCTCATACTGCATTGTAATAGGTGGTCTGTGGTTTGCATGTCATGGACTCCACTTTGTGGCCCCATTTCTTAAGATTGGCTCAGCATCTCGTGGTGCCAGAGCACAGTCTGTTCAGCACCTTACTAATACATTGATTGAGCTTATTCACTCCCATAAGTAAGTTGGTAAGGCATCCAGAGAGTTTGGGGGAGATGATTCAGAAGGAAGAGGACAACATTGTAAGTCTATTGTGCTCCACTTTGCGCTTTCTTGTGATTACCTATTATCAGAAGCCCCTTTATGGCATCAAAACTGGACTCAACCA